AGCGCCGCATTGGCATGGTCATGGACGTCGCTCGTACGTCCATGATGCATGCGGCTGCCCCCCATTTTCTGTGGCCGTTTGCGGTTCGGTACGCGGCGCATCAGATCAACCTTCACCCCAGGGTCTCCCGGCCGGAGACCTCCCCAGCTCTGCTGTGGACGGGGAAGGTCGGCGATGCGTCTGCGTTCCGTGTCTGGGGATCTCGGGCGTTTGTCCGCGACTTGTCTGCGGACAAGCTGTCCCCTCGTGCTGCTCCCTGTGTCTTCCTCGGCTTCCCCCCTGACGCTCCAGGGTGGCAGTTCTACCACCCCTCCTCTCGTCGTGTTCTGTCCTCCCAGGACGTCACGTTCGACGAGTCAGTCCCCTTCTACCGCCTCTTCCCCTACCGCACTCCTTCCCTCCCCCCGCCACCGCACTTCCTTGTGCCAGGTCCCCCCCCGGTAGACCCCCTTCCCCCTCAGGGTCCTGCCCCTTCAGGTGTGTCCCAGGTAGACGCAGTCGAGCCGGTCGAGGTTGCTGGTGACTCTGGTCCTGCTGCGGGTGCTGAGCCTGGGGGTGCTGAGTCTGGGGGTGCTGAGCCTGGGGGTACTGCGACTGGGGGTGCTGAGCCTGGGGGTGCGGAGTCTGGGAGTGCTGAGCCTGGGGGTGCTGCGACTGGGGGTGCTGAGCCTGGGGGTGCGGAGTCTGGGGGTGCTGAGCCGTGGGGTGCTGCTACTGGGGGTGCTGAGCCAGGGGGTGCTGCGTCTGGAGGTGCTGAGCCTGGAGCTGCGGAGCCTGCGGCCACTGGACCTCCCCTTGTGGCGTCTGGCGGTGCGGGACCTGGCGGTTCTCCGGGTGCTTCGCCTCGGCGGGAGCCCCTCTCTCCACAGGAGCTGCGCGAGTGGTTTGCCCGGCGCTGGAGGCGTGCTGCTGGAGCTGGAGGTTCTTCGGCTACTGAGGGTGCTGGTGCCGCGGGTCCCGGAGGTGCTGGAGCTGGAGCTGCTGAGGGCGTTGGTGCTGAGGCTACTGCTGTCGGTCCTGGAGGCGGTCCTGCTGGGGGTGCTACTGGTGCTGCTGGAGGTCCTGGAGCTGGAGGTGCTACTGGCGCTGGTGCTGCCGCTGGGGGTACTGGTGCTGTCCCTGCTGTGTCTGGAGTCGTCGCGCGGCCTAGACCGTACTTCGTTCCGCTCCTTCAGCAGGTTCTTGGTCTCCCGCCTTCTACTGGTCCTCCTCCTCCCTTAGAGTGTCCACAGCCTGTTCTGTCACAGTTACAGTTACAGCCGGCCTCCCCACTGCCCGCTCCTTCTCCCTACACTGGTCCTACTGGAGGTCTTGCTGAGCGTCGTGAGCCTGCGTCTCGCCCTGCGTCGCCTGTCCGTGCTGCTCGCACTAGTGGTCGTGGTTCGCGTCAGCGTCCTCCTCCTGTCCCTGGCACGCACCGGATGTCTCTGCGTCCGTCCACTGCTCCTCTGCGTGCCCCTTTGCCTTCTCCTCCTGAGTCCTCTCTTCCTGCTCTTCCTGACCCGGAGTCGGACTCTCTTCGTGCTGCCAGTCCTGCTGTCACACGTCTCCTTGCTACTGTCGTCACTGACCCCTCTTTTGAGTCCACTGCTGCGTCTGCGCTTGTTGCTGAGCTCGTCGACTTTGCTGCTCGCTGTCGTCTAGACTACGCTGCCGGTCTTGTTGCTGAGTCTGCGTCTGTCTGTCCTCCGTCCGTCGGGGGTGAGTGTGCTCTTGGCACGGACGTCCTTGAGGACAGGCAGGAGGAGTTCAGGTGTCTGGCTGCTGCTTCACCTCATCTCGCGTCCGTACTACTTGCCCCTGAGGGAGACCCGGATGCACTAGACATCCCGACTCCGCGCTCTTACGCGGAGGCCGTAGAGGGTCCCTACTCCTCTCAGTGGCAGGCAGCTATGGATGCAGAGATGGCGTCCTGGAAGTCCACAGGCACCTACGTTGACGCGGTTCCCCCTCCTGGGGCGAACATCGTCAGTGGCATGTGGATCTTCAGGGTGAAGCGGCCGCCGGGCTCTCCACCTGTCTTCAAGGCGCGGTACGTCGCTCGTGGCTTCAGTCAGCGGCAGGGAGTTGACTACTTTCAGACCTTCTCTCCCACCCCGAAGATGACCACTCTTCGGGTGCTGCTGCACATAGCCGCTCAGCGCGACTACGAGCTCCACTCTCTTGACTTCAGTACTGCTTTCTTGCAGGGTAGCCTGCACGAGGAGATCTGGCTGCGCCGTCCACCTGGCTTCACTGGGACTTTTCCTCCTGGCACCCAGTGGAGCCTCCGACGGCCAGTCTACGGTCTCCGCCAGGCACCGCGTGAGTGGCACGACACACTGAGGACTACGCTTGCGGCTCTTGGGTTTGCTCCCTCTACTGCTGACCCGTCGTTGTTTCTGCGCACCGACACTTCTTTGCCGCCGTTCTACGTCCTCGTGTACGTCGACGACTTGGTCTTTGCCACAGCTGACACTGCTGGACTAGCCTACGTGAAGTCCGAGCTGCAGAAGAGACACACGTGCACAGACCTCGGTGAACTGCGCAGCTACCTTGGCTTGCAGATCACTCGGGACAGAGCACGCCGCACCATTACCTTGACTCAGTCACACATGGTGCAGCAGGTCCTTCAACGCTTCGGCTTCACGTACTCCTCGCCTCAGGCCACTCCTCTGTCTACTCGCCACTCGCTCTCAGCTCTGCCTTCGGATGAGTCCGTAGAGTCGAGTGGCCCGTACCCAGAGCTTGTTGGCTGCCTCATGTACCTGATGACCTGCACACGACCTGACCTTGCATACCCTCTTAGCATTCTTTCACGCTATGTTGCTCCTGGGAGACACCGACCAGAGCACATGGCTGCAGCGAAGAGGGTGTTGCGCTACTTGTGCAGTACGTCGGGCATGGGGCTAGTGCTTGGAGGGCGGAGTCCAGTGGTCCTCACTGGGCACGCGGACGCTTCTTGGGCAGACGACCAGGCTACACAGCGGTCGTCGCAGGGTTACACCTTCAGTCTTGGTTCCGGCTCTGTCTCGTGGCGGGCTACTCGCTCGTCCTCTGTTCTCAGCTCCAGTTGTGAGGCTGAGATCTACGCCGGGGCCATGGCTGCACAGGAGCTTCGTTGGCTCACCTACCTGCTGACTGACCTTGGAGAGCCGCCTCGTTCTCCTCCAGTGTTGTACGTAGACAACAAGGCCATGCTGGCCTTGTGTCGAGAGCAGCGCTTGGAGCACAGAACGAAGCACATTGCTCTCCGTTACTTTCTTGCTCGTGAGCTGCAGCAGCGTGGTCAGTTGCGACTTGCGTACGTGGCCTCTGAGGCCAACACTGCTGATGTGTTCACCAAGGCACTTGCGCCTTGTGACCATCAGCGCTTCTGCACCCAGCTGGGTCTTGTACCTGTCTTGCCTCACTTGCTCTCTTCTTGACCTTGCTTGTACTGTCACATATATATTCCTGCTCTTGCTTGTCTAGCTCTATATATATATGTGTACTCCTGCATGTGAACTGGCCCTGTTGCCCTGTCGTTGTGCTCGGACTGTGTGGTGACTTTGTGATCCACCCTGAGCTTGCTCTGCTTTGCTTGACTGGTCTTGTGACCCCTTGTTCTCCCCCACTTTGCCTATGGGGGTGTGTCAGAACATATATATAGCTTATGCTGTTGTGTAGGCTATAGTGGGGTATCCCATAGGGGGTACAACCCAATTAGGGTTTCCCATATGTACTCACTTCATTCATAGTTCATTCATTCTCGTTCTACTATTCTCACGTTCAGCTGACAAGAAGTAGATTAGAAAATACCATCCTGCCCAGGGCTTATGAAGCAGGTGATAGAAACCGTCCTGCTCTAATTGACGCCACAGAATGAACTTGGCGAGTTAGAAGCAGCGCCTAGGATCAATCCGACGGGCTCAGAGCAAGAATTCCGTAGCAACTTAGATCGCTGAAATCGCCCAAGAGTTCAGAGAGAAAACGTTGTTCATATAAAGATGGGTACACAAGTCGTACAAGGAATGAACTCTCTGTTTTGCTCTCTGGATTTTATAGCTAAAACACACATGCAGAAATGTAACATCGAACCGCGCGCGACTCGCAAAAATTCGGACTCAGGATTGCGTCCAATTTCCGCGACATCCGCGTTCACAATTTCGGACTTTGCCGGTTTCGTTTCTTCACGCCGACAATTGTGTGTTACAAGGATCAATAGCGAGTGTAGCAAAATGTTCGTAACATTCGCTTGCACCCTCGCTATTTTTGTGCATGCTTGTGGGGCTGCCAAGTGTCGCCCCCACAAATATTCGGACCCAACCGGGGGCGAACTCGGTTGAGTGGCGACGCGGGCAATCCGCCGTCACCCCTCATTCCGAGAAAGAACCCTCCCTTGGTCCGAGTCAAGGGAGGTCTTCGCGTGGGGGGCAATCCCGTCCCCCACACTTCCAACAGCAGGAAAGCCGGATATGCGTTCCTTGAATCACAGCACATCATGCACACCACCACTGCCATGCGCATCGTCTGTTGCCCTTTGAAACCGAGAGCATTTCTCCCAACCCATCCATTATCATTAAAGCTGCTGTCTACATTCTAAAAGTGGTTTTGGGAGGGTAATTTTTCTGCACACCCCAGAACGCCAGATGATTGGGTGACGAAGTGATCCGTAAGCTCGAAACACCGGGGCGATGATTGCACAACGTTCTGGCGATGCCAAACCCCTTCGTGAGGGGGTTGGGGTGGGGGAAGAACGGCGGACCAGCGGAACAACAAAGTTTCCCCCACACTGCCATGCGTGATTACAAGCCCCCACTGATCAAAACTCAGGTGTTGCTCCCGACCAACGTGCCGTGAACAACATAGGCCATCCTAGATCCACGAAGCATAACGCCCAGCTGCTAAGCTGAGCTTTCATAACGCATGTCACGCCCTGAAATAGAACCCCGAACAGAGCACAGCAAATTCTGAGCTGAACCCCGACAAGGCGCGCAAGTTGATGCTTTTCAGTAGCCCGGGGAGGCCACGGATAGAGCATGATTGTGATACACTCATTCCGGACCGCCCATTCCGCCTTCGGCGCATGTCCCAATCCGCCCGGACGGCATCACGCAGCGCGGCGCGTCGCGTCTCCCAATCCGCCCTCGTCGCAGCTCCAAATCCGCCCTCGTCGCCTCTCCCAATCCGCCCTCGTCGCATCTCCCAATCGCCCTCGTCGCATCTCCCAATCGCCCTCGTCGCATCTCCCAATCGCCCTCGTCGCATCTCCCAATCGCCCTCGTCGCATCTCCCAATCGCCCTCGTCGCATCTCCTAATCCGCCCCCGTCGCACCTCCACGCCGCCGCCCGTAGCGTTGCCTGCCACGTCTCCTTGCAACATCGCCGCGTCATCGCATCTACGCAGCAGTCTGTTCGCCACATTGCGGCATCCTCGCCGCGTCAACGACTGCTCGTCGCGTCGCCATGTGAGTGACCCATTCGTCAAGTAGCAGCCTCGCTGCCACCTCGCCGTATCGCGAACGTCGCAATGGGCACGCCACGTTGCCTCATCGGCGCAATCCGCCTCGACGCCCTCGTTGCATCCTCCTCACCCTCTCGCCTCCTCGCCAAAGTCGCCTCTGCGCTGCTTCCCATCCTGGCCGTGTCACCTCCGCCGTTACCTCGCCACCTCATCGCCGCCTCGCCTCCCCACTCTCCTTTCTGCCCGCCTCTCTCCCCTGTCCTGTCCCCTTCTCTCCCCCCTATCCTCCTCTCTCCCCCTGTCATGTCCCCTTCTCTCCTCCCTGTCCTCCTCTCCTCCCCCTGTCCTGTCCCCTCCTCTCCCCCCTGTCCTCCCCTCTCCCCCCTGTCCTGGGCCCCTCTCTCCCCCCCTGTCCTGTCCCCCTTCCTCCGTATAGCATCTGGCATAATAATATTCTCCCCGCTCTCGTCCTTCCCTCCCCGCTCTCATCCTTTCCTCTCCCCTCTCATCCTTTCCTCCCCGCTCTCACCCTGAACCGTCTCTCAGCTCAAGCTATTGCGCCTCCCGTCCCTCTCCCCCTTCTTTCCCTCATGTCTCCCCCTCCTTCCCCCCGTTTCCCCCCTCTATGCCCTCATTCCCATCCCACCTTCCCCTCATTTCACCCTTTCTTCCCCATTTCCCCACTGCTTTCTCATGATTTCCCCGCTCCCCCCTTCTGCCACCTGCGTCTGCAGCCTCGTGACCGCCACGGAACCGCCAGCTGCACGTTTGACGAGATGCGCGAGATGCGGCCATGCATGCGCCATCCCTCTGAACCCTTCCTCTCCGCCCTCCGGTAGTGGTGAGTGCGGGCGTTGTGATTGAGTCTGCATTACTCCCGTTGCAGCAGCGTGTGTGCGAGACGCAGAGGCGTAGCGAGTGCGGGTTTAGGAAGGGAAGTCCATCGTGCACTCAACTGCACTCACACTAACCCGCGCATTCCTCCTCATCCCTCCAATCCCCTTCTCCTCTGCCCATTCCTAGCACACCTAACTTGCACACCTCCCTCATCCTCTCTCCCTCCCGTCATCCTCTCTCCCCCCTGTCCTCCACTCTCTCCCCTCTGTCCTCCTCTCTCCCCCCTGTCCTCCTCTCTCCCCCCTGTCCTCCTCTCTCCCCCCTGTCCTCCTCTCTCCCCCCTGTCCTCCTCTCTCCCCCCTGTCCTCCTCTCTCCCCCCTGTCCTCCGTCCCCCCCTAGTCTTCCTCCGTCCCCGCTACCCTTCACTGTGCCTCTTCCTCCCCATCTCACCTCCCTGCCTCCCCATGTCTCCTTGACCCCTCCATTCGCTTACATTCCTGTATGATCCATGTTTAGTTGTAACGCAACCTTTCCCCCCCTGTCCACTTTGCTTCAAAGCTCATCTTCACCGGATCAATCCCCCTCCAAACTCAGAGATGGCAGCCCCCGCTTCCAATCACCCTTCCACCCTCGCCGTCAGTGGCACCCTCTCTTCCACTAGCTTGCTGCATGGCATGATGCAAGCGGTGAAGGGAGCATGTGCTTTGTTCGTAAAGCGATGACTTACTCCTTTCCCTCTCTTTCCCACTCCTTCACTCTCCTTCCCATTCCTTTCCCTTTGCTTTCCTTCTGCCCTGCCATTGCTGCCACTCTCCTCTTCTCCCCGTCTGCTCGGCTAAGTGTGCCGTGTAGGCTGCAGCAGGGCAGCGGGGCACCATGGAGGGGAGGACATGGGCGCCCTCCTACCACACGCGCCATAGGGCGAGTGGATGCTGGGCTCTATGGCACTCTCCATGCGCCCTGCCACCACACGCGCCACTCATCCACCCCTCCTTCCCTCCTTCTTGGGCCTCCGACTTGCTGCTGCAGCTGGGGTGACTGCTGCAGCATGAGCACTACATGGGCTCTCACCACTCAGCAGGAGCTACATTAGCCTCTAGTGGAGGCGACAAGACAATAAGAGTTGACAAAGGCTGTCTTGGACCTCAAGTTATTTACCATATAATACATAAACGTTCTCACACCCACCAGTGTTGCAAAAGAGGGACCATCACAAATATCCATACATGACCAATGCTATCATTATTGAATATATAGTACCTCACACTGATTAGGGTATTTTGATAAGTAACTTGCTACGCGATGTTATGATACGGCAAGGGCCCACATCACACTATCCTAAATCTAACTAGCTTGTCTGCTTGGTTGCTTCATGCCTGACGAGCTGCACCACGGAAGAGAGAACAGGGAGGGAAGAGAGATCAGGGAGGGAAGAGAGATCAGGGAGGGAAGAGAGATCAGGGAGGGAAGAGAGAGCAGGGAGGGAAGAGAGAGCAGGGAGGGAAGAGAGAGCAGGGAGGGAAGAGAGAGCAGGGAGGGAAGAGAGAGCAGGGAGGGAAGAGAGAGCAGGGATGGATGACAGAGCAGGGAGGGAAGAGAGAGCAGGGAGGGAACAGAGAGCAGGGAGGGAAGAGAGAGCAGGGAGGGAAGAGAGATCAGGGAGGGAAGAGAGAGCAGGGAGGGAAGAGAGATCAGGGAGGGAAGAGAGAGCAGGGAGGGTAGAGAGATCAGGGAGGGAAGAGAGAGCAGGGAGGGAAGAGAGATCAGGGAGGGAAGAGAGAGCAGGGAGGGAAGAGAGAGCAGGGAGGGTAGAGAGATCAGGGAGGGAAGAGAGATCAGGGAGGGAAGAGAGAGCAGGGAGGGAAGAGAGATCAGGGAGGGAAGAGAGAGCAGGGAGGGAAGAGAGATCATGGAGGGAAGAGAGAGCAGGGAGGGAAGAGAGAGCAGGGAGGGTAGAGAGATCAGGGAGGGAAGAGAGATCAGGGAGGGAAGAGAGAGCAGGGAGGGAAGAGAGATCAGGGGGGAAACAAGGGGTAAGCGGGGGGGAAACAAAGGGTAAGAAGGGAAGAACAGAGGGTAAGCAGGGGGGAAGCAGTGCATAAGCAGGGGGGAAATATGGGGGTGGCTGGCTCTCAACGAGGTGATTACCGCATGCTATTCCCCCGTGCCTGCTTGCATGCTATCCCCCCGCGCCTGCTCGCATGCTATCCCCCCGCGCCTGCTCGCATGCTATCCCCCCGCGCCTGCTCGCATGCTATTCCCCCGCGCCTGCTCGCATGCCAGCCACCCGCGCCTGCTCGCATGCTATTCCCACGCGCCTGCTCGCATGATATCCCCCCGCGCCTGCTCGCATGCTATCCCCCCGCGCCTGCTCGCATGCTATTCCCCCGCGCCTGCTCGCATGCTATCCCCCCGCGCCTGCTCACATGCTATTCCCCCGCACCTACTCGCATCCGACCTCCCTCGCATATCGCGGCTTACCCCGTTGCAAATTCTGGCTCCCATCCCCCTCGCACCTCCGCGTCATCGGAGCCCATTCCCGTCCGCGTCGCCAGACCGCGTCGCTGCTCACACCCGGCCGCTCGCCTCACGTAATCGCGGCAGCTCCCAGCGCGCGCCCCGCACGTGTTCGCGGCACACACCCCACCGCCACTCGCGCAATATCGCGACTCACTCCGGTCCGCGGCTCGCACCTCCTCGCTGCAGACTTCAGTTTGTGTTACGTATTTTCTTATACTGAATCCCGTCTCGCGCCCGGAGAATAAATTTTCGCCAGAAAAAAATTTAGTACCACAGTGGTAGAAAGCTGGAGCTAAAGCGCTATGAGGAGTGGATCGTAATACTGAAATGCAGGAAAATGAGCTTGGTGGGAGTGCTACATGGAAAGCGAGAGGACGACGGTAAAGCTCGCGGCTCAGAGGAGAGGAGAACGCGGCGATATGGCGAGCAGATATCTGGCGACGAGACCAGCTGATCTAAGGCGATGAGGCGAACAGATCTTAGGCGAGGAGGTGAACCACCGTGGTTAGGCGACGAATTTTCCTAACAGTGACTGTTAGGCGAGGCGGCGCTCTGATATCTGGAAACGAGAACAGGGCAGAACGCGACGGTGTGTTTGACTGCGCTGGTAATCCGCGGCCGACGCGGCCTAAATCGCTATTGCGATCGAGGTGTAGGTACCGGAAGCAAGTTTGATTCCGTGGCGACTATAATCTTCGGAATCACTAGGGGTCTATCGAGTGAGCTTTGGCAATCATTGTCGGGAGAGTTTTGGTCTACAAACCATCATGCGGGTCAAGTTATAATCTGGCGAACTTGTTTCGGCTGTTGGTTTGCTCAACCCCACCCCCCTCCCTCCTTTCGACTTTCGTTTCTCCGCAAAGGGGTACTTGGAGGGACTGGGTTACCCTGTTTTCAAGTGATAAACCTTTGCCTCCCGCTTGAGGTATGTAGACCGCAGCTTTAATAATTGCGTCATGTTGACAAATATTCCCCCCTTCTCCTCCTTCCTCGCTGATTTAAACTAGCATCCCTTTACCAAGCTGACACCAACTACCCTCTCATCACCATGCAACGGCATCTAGCACCACTACTACCCCCATGCACCACCCCCACCCCTTCTCCTGCAAAGTCGTCAGCACCAACTTCTCTTCACACTGGCTCGCCGTGTTGCTTACTGTCTTCCAAGCTTCTACGCAGCAATAGCATTAACCATGGCAATGGACGGGTTCCTCCAACCAGCAGGCACCGCGTTGAACCCATACCCACCCTTTGCCAGCTTCCCAATCATGAACTGCATGAACGCCTTGGCAATCTTCCCGCCAGTCACGCCCGTCAGCGACTTGCGGATGAACCCAAACTCCATGGAAACCATCGCAGGGGTCTTGGCTCCGGCCTTCCAGATGAAGTCCACGCTGCTCCAGGACCCGTCGGCTGCGGGAGGCGCGCCCACGAGCGCCGTCCCGGGGGTCCACGAGGGCGGCCCGACGGCGACGCCATTGGCGTTCTTGAGCGCGGCGATCACGCGCTTCGGGTTGTTGGGCTTCCTGGCGTTGTAAGGCACGACGCTGCATCCGCCGGTGAACGCGTAACCGATGGCGCCCTTGGTCTTGAGCACGGCGGCGCACACGGCGCTCGTGCCCTCTACCTTGGTGACGCCGGCGTAAGTCAGGGCTGTGCCGTCCGTGCCGCCGCTGTACCCGGACACGGCCTTAGACCACATGGTCTTGACAATGGCGGTACTTCCGGACTTGTCGCTGCGCCCCACGGCGGTGATGGCGCCCGCGACCTTGCCCACCGCGCCGGGAACGGCGGACCACGCGGTGATCGCGCCGCTGTAGATCTGGAACGTCTGGGTGGCCGTCAGAACGATGCCAGGCTTTCCGTTGACGAAGAAGCTGAAGGTGGAGACGCAGAGAGGCACGGTGATCTTGCCGCTGGCGACGACGCCTCCCTCTTGCGCGGCGGTCATGGGATCATCGGAGACGGCAATGAGGTAGGTGCCGCCGTTGAATCCGGTGATTCCGGCGCCTGATCCCACCGAGTCGTATGCAACGACGTCCTGGGAGATTCCCGGCTTGGCCGCGTTCCATGCCTTGATGATCGCCCCGCCAGCCTGGAAATGTGGCATGCATCGCGACGGAGACGTTTTATTTGATGCTGGAAATCATGGCGATGGTGAGAGAGAAACTTTGAGGACAGAATTTTTGAGAGAGTTTTTGGCGATGCTTGTGTGAGGAAACTTACAGGTGCGAAGGTCGACGCTCCGCCCATGAATCCGGCGAGCGACCTTGAAGCGAAAGATGCAATCAGGAAAGCTACTGCGAGGGTTTTATAGTAGTTGTGAGCCATGGGTGTGGCTGGCGATGGCTGTAAGAAAAAATAGTAGTTAGAGAATTCAGAAATCCTAGTAGCTACTCAAGTCGTGAGAAATTGGGTTGTGATTCAATGAAATGCAGTGGAGCAATTTATGTGCTTCAGATTTTGGAATTTCGCGCTTCGTGTTTTTGGCGGCATGTGGGGAAGGGAAGACAATGTTGTTCCTTTGTGGCATAAGGGTAACATGCTGCGTTGCGAAGACTGGCATCTTACAGGGGTCAGCAAGGGCGGGGCTTGACAAGGATGACGGATTGGTTGCGACTTCCGAATGATCTCGCGCAAATCTCTCGCTTGTTACGATGGACAGTACTTGCTTCACCGATTGGTTCGCGAACTCCGTCTTCAGCCGCGGCACGGCACTTACTGGGCAGTAACACCCGTACAGGCAGTGCTTGGTCGGTGGTTACTAAATGCGCGACTCGAGTTGGAGGAATCTTTCGAAATGGAATCCTCCCATTATGCTGCAAGCAACTCCGACAACATACGCGCTCCCATCGTCAGCGCAGATGCGACAACGTGACAAACATCCAGTGTGCACAAATAGCAGATTTTAGTTATTTTCATGGTATTAGTGTGCAATTGAACTAGTTAGTGAAGATTTCACTAAGGAGTACAAATGTTAGTGAACATTCAGGGCGTTCCTCTTTTATCTGCTTATGCTGAAACCCTAAAATATCATACGAATCTTGCAATATAGCTGAATCTGGAATGCTAAAAACAAGATTTTGTTTCGATCATGTTGGGTTGAGAAAATGCCTTAAGATATTTTAGAGTTTAGTCATTGTAATATTCTGCTGCCGAAGACAGGAAAGAAAATAAATACAAGATATTTATGAAGCGGTATAATCATGTGTCACGCGAACAGTCGCGAGACTGTTCGCACTACTACCTATAACTCACACGAAGGGACACCTGCTATAGTTGTCAGAATGTTATCTTATGCTCTAGCCTGTAGTGGGGTGCTCTATAGCGAGTACAACCCTTCTAGGGTTTGCTATTTGTATCCTCATTCTTGCTAGTGCAACCCCTTCTTCCTCTTCTTCTCTCTTCTTTCTTCTAAATTCTAACATGCTATCAGAGCAGGTCGATCCCCTTGGATCGATCCTGTGGGTGGGCTCACCACCTTGTTGCTTCCGCTGCAACTGCTACTGCTACTCTCTGTGCCGCACGCTTCGTGGCGTGCGGCAGTTTTTCTTCCCGCCGTGCGCCCCGAGGCGCGCGGCGGTTTTCTGCCCGCCGTGCGCCCCGAGGCGCGCGGCGGTTTCCTGCCCGCCGCGCGCCCCGAGGCGCGCGGCGGGTCGCGCGACCCCTACAGCCCCGTCGCGCCGCCCAGGGGAGCCGCGCGCGACCCCTGCAGCCCCGTCGCGCCGCCCAGGGGAGCCGCGCGCGGCCCCTGCAGCCCCGTCGCGCCGCCCAGGGGAGCCGCACGCGGCCCCTGCAGCCCCGTCGCGCTGCCCAGGGGAGCCGCGCGCGACCCCTGCAGCCCCGTCGCGCCGCCCAGGGGAGCCGCGCGCGGCCCCTGCAGCCCCGTCGCGCCGCCCACAGGAGCCGCGCGCGGCCCCTGCAGCCCCGTCGCGCCGCCCAGGGGAGCCGCGCGCGGCCCCTGCTGCCCCGTCGCGCGGCCCTGCTGCCCCGTCGCGCTGCCCAGGGGAGCCGTGCGCGGCCCCTGCTGCCCCGCCCCGTCCCCGACCTGCCCCGGCCCCGACCTGCCCCGGCCCAACTCCCGTCGCCCGTCGCGGCGCCCTGGGGGGGGCCGCAAGCGGCCCCCCCCCAGGGTCGCCTCGACAGGCGACGGGAGGGGAGTCTACCGGGGACCGCGCGTTGCCCCCCCCCCCCCCCCCCCCCCCCCCCCCCCCCCCCCCCCCCCCCCCCTACCTCCCTACCCTGTTTTTAGGGTTTGGGGGGTAGTGGTTGGGGGGTGGCGGTTGGGGGGTGGCGGTTGGGGGGTGGCAGGTGTGTGCATTCCTCCCCTTGCTCCTCCTCCTCCTTCGTCTCCCACTGCTGCAGCTGTCGCTGAGGGGGGTGGTTGTGTGGGAGACTGGGGTTTAGGGTTTAAGGGGGGTGCGTGGGAGTGGAGCTAGCGGTGTAGCAGCGGGTGTGTGCCAGGGGGGAGTGGGATAGTTTGGGGAAGCTGCACGGAGGTTGCCGTCGTGTCGCCAGCAGCACCTGTAGTCCGGGGACTTCGTCCGGTAGCCCAGTCGTAGACTTCTACGCCAGCCGCCCGTGGGTCCGTTGCTCGTCTGCCGCTACTTTAGCCGCGGGGCCTGTTACTCCTGTAGTCCGGGCGCTTAGTCCGGTAGCCGCTGTGCCAGTCTGCCTCCTGTTGCCCGTGTGTCTGCAGCTTCAGCCGTCGCCTCCTATCTCCTCTCCCCTCACTCTCTCTCCTCCTCCTCGCTTGCCCGTTGTGACTACCACTAGCTTTGCTCATAATTGTACCTTTTAAACTATTCCTTCTTGAACTTGTGCTCAGAATGTGTGGTGACATTGTGATCCACCCTGAGCTTGTACTGCTTTTCTTGCTCTGCTGATTACACCCCACTTTGGCTATGGGGGTGTGTCAGAATGTTATCTTATGCTCTAGCCTGTAGTGGGGTGCTCTATAGCGAGTACAACCCTTCTAGGGTTTGCTATTTGTATCCTCATTCTTGCTAGTGCAACCCCTTCTTCCTCTTCTTCTCTCTTCTTTCTTCTAAATTCTAACAATAGTAACATGCGCATATAATGATACTACTATAATACTGTAGCGTTTATATTATTGAACTACTGAATCGCATAAGTCAAACTTCTTTTCCCAACACTCCCCTTCAATTCTGGAGTTTGATGTTGTCGTTGGTGAGTCCAGTAAGCATCATGCAGTACTGAAATTTCGGGCGCGGCAGACGCTTGGTCAAGAAGTCCGCGGGCGTTTCGCTCGTGTGACAGTAACCGAGCTGTAACTTGCCTTGCTCGATTTCGTCCTTTGACGAAAAAAAGTAACGAAGCGAGATATGCTTGGTTTGATTGGCGAACCCAGATCTGTTCGCAATGCGGATTGCGGACAGATTGTCGCAGAAGAGCTGAAACTATGATAGGTCCAGTAACTTTGCTTCGCTAAGCAACTCCCGAATGTAAAGACCTTCCTTCGTAGCGGTGCTAGCAGCAATGAACTCCGCCTCAGCTGATGAGGGTGCAATCAGCTCCTGCTTGCACGACTGCCAGGAGATTGTACCAATGGGCTCAAGGCAAAAAATATAGGCCGTACGTGAGTGTCTGTTTGCAGTATCACCCGCGCGATATGCGCCCACATAGCCGAGTAGAGAGAGCGGCGACTTCGGCAACTTGTGATACGTGAGTCCGACAGTAGACGTAGATACGAAATAGGAGATTGCGGCTTCCAGTTCCCGTAGGTTCTCCCCTTCAGGTCGCTTAAGAAATTGAGCGAGCTGGCTAGCCGGATAGGCCAAATCCGGACGACAGGTCACAGCTGCGAATAGAATACTACCGAGGAGTTGCTGATAGGGAGTAACACCAGTAGATGAAAGAGGCTCGGATTCAGCTGCTTGAGTCGAACGGAACGGAGTGTCGGAGGTAGTGATCGGTAGCGGAAAGCGCTTCAGCAACTTCTCAGCGTACTTGTCGGCGGAGAGATGAATAGCACTTGATGTCTCGGTGATGTTTAGGCCAAGATACTGAGTAACGTTGGTCGAAATCGTAATCGTGAGATCCGTTTTCAGCTCCCCTTCAAAGTAAGAAATGATGTCGGGAGTGCTGCCGATGTAGAGTAAATCATCGACGTAGACGACGAGAAGCACGAATGTAGCTTCCCGGTCCAGTCGATACATGGTCATGGGGTAGTTGGCGAAAGCCGATGAGGATGAGACGCTCATGGAGATGCTGTTGCCAGAGACGCGGTGTCTGTTTAATCCCGTAGAGAGATTTATTAAGGCAGCAGACCATAGAAGGATCGTTAATGTAACCGTGAGGCTGCTCGACGGGGATAGTGCGTCAACGAGAGCATAAAGAAACGCCGTTGAAACATCGATATGGCGAAGCTTAAGACCCAATGTTGTTGCGAAGGCGAGTAGAATCCGAAGCGAAGTATGCCGACTAACAGGAGCGAAAGTCGCGCCGTAGTACACGCCCTGCTTTTGATCAAACCCGCGAACAACCCAGCGAGCCTTGAAACGCTCGATCGTTCCGTCAGCATTCGTCTTAATAGGGAAGACCCACTCCCCAGAGAGAACGTTCTTCCCTGGAACCGTCGAAATGGGGATTAAATCCCAGGTGGTGTTATCGTGTAGCGCCTTCAGCTCCTTATCCATGGTTTCGCGCCATTTCTCCCTGTGAGGTCCTTTCAGCGCCTGATCAAAGATTTTCGGTTCGGTTGGAAGAGGTGGTTGAGCTGCTACAGCAAGCCCCAGTATCTGTAACCCAGTCTGTTGATAACAGGTCTGCTCCTCGGTCTCGTTAGTTGCAGCTTCGTCACCAGTTTCAGGATCGAAGTTAAAACCAGAACCCAACCGTTCGATTTGGTTAGAAGCAACGGGAAGCAGTGTAGTCGCTCCGTTATCAGCGAACTCGTTATAAGCCTCGGCGTTGATATCGTTGTGAGGATCTTCCTCATCGATTTCGATCAAAACAGAACAGTAAGGGGCGGCACCGGCAGCTGCTGACGCACCTGAGACAGCTTCCTCCACCGCGTCAGCCTCGTCGGCTTCTGTAGCGAAGGTACGTGTACCAGAAAACCCAGCTGTCAAATCTTCGCGGTTGGCATGCTGCCTCTGCCAAGTGTTGTAAGTAAGTCACTCGTGGAAGAGTACGTCGCGTGCTGGAACAGTGACACCTGTTTCGACGTTCCAAATTTTCACATGCTGCAAATTGTTTCTCGATGCCGAAGTGTATCCCCCATCGTGCCCTTTGTGAAAACCGTCCCGCAGGACCGCGTACTGCAATCGCGCACAACAGATTCTTGCAGATCTGCGTATGGCTGGCGTGGACTACGCAATGTCTTCGTATGACACGCATGTCATCAAAGGTTTACCTGCAATCCTTCGGCGCATGGTGAAACTCCCAGGTGTACGCGAAGAGCTCGATGACGATACGCTTTCGAGCTACATCATTGAAGAGGAGTTCACACTTGAATCCGAGCAGCGCGAGGAGCAGCTTCTCCCTCAAGTCAACTACGTCGCGTCGAAGCAGCAACGTCAGCAACAGAAGTGAGGGAAATCGCGCGGAGGAGGCGACTATGACAAAAAACGCCGACCGCGCAAAGACGACCAAGAGGGACGAGCGTTCCGGTGGCGGAAAGCGCAACTCTCAACGATACTGCTTTGTTTGTGGAGATCCCGAGCACAGAATAGTGGAAAACTAGGAGATCGTAAACTCTCCTGCTCTCATACCATGTTGGGCTGAGAAAATGCCTTAGGATCTTTTAGAGCTTAGTCCTTGTAATATTATGCAGCGGAAGAGTGGAATTCTTGTGCTAGTCAAATGTGAGAACAAGAATTGATAATAAATAAAAAGTACAAGATTTTTTTAGTCTAGGAAAGTACATATTTAGAGATGTAACTATTCATGAAGCGGGCTAAGTATCGAGTCGACTCTATGAAGCGGTATAATCCGGTGTCACGCGAACAGTCGCGAGACTGTTCGCGCTACTACCTGTAACTCACACGAAGGGACACATGCTACAGTAACATGCACATGTAATGATATTACTATAAGACTGTAGCGTTTATAATATCGAACTACTGAATTGCATAAGTCAAATTCCTTTTCCCAACAGATCACAAACAAGTCGGATTGTTGTCAAATGTTATAACATCTTCTTAGGTTACAGTGAGTAGCATTGTAAGGAGTACAACCCATTTTAGGGTTGGTGTTTGTCCTGCTTCTCTTTCTAGTGACCACATTCCGCTATTCAATCTTTGAGATGGTATCATAGTAGGTACGCTCCTTGCTTAGCCTAGCCCGCCCGTGCTCCGTTGCCTAGCCTAGCCCGCACCGCTCCGTCGCTCCGTATTCGTACCCCTCCTTAAGCAGTGCCCCTCCCTCTCGTGTGCTGACCCACGCGCACTCCTGCCAGAGTAGCGCGCGCCCCTGCCAGAGTAGCGTGCGCCCCAGCAGAGCAGCGCGCGCCCCAGCAGAGCAGCGCGCGCCTCAGCAGAGCAGCACACACCACCCAGCAGAGCAGCGCGCGCCTCAGCAGAGCAGCGCGCGCCCCAGCAGAGCAGCGCGCGCCACCCTGCAGAGCAGCGCGCGCCCCAGCAGAGCAGCGCGCGTCACCCAGAAGAGCAGCGCGGGCCCCAGCAGAGCAGCGCGCGCCACCCAGCAGAGCAGCGCGTGCCCCAGCAGAGCAGCGCGCGCCACCCTGCAGAGCAGCGCGCGCCACAGCAGAGCAGCGCTCGCCACCAGCACAGCAGCGCGCACCACCCAGCAGAGCAGCCCGCGCCACCCAGCAGAGCAGCGCGTGCCCCAGCAGAGCATCGCGTGCTACCCAGCAGAACAGCGCGCGCCACCCAGCCCAGCAGCGCGTGCCATCAGCAGAGCAACTCGCGCCCCTGCCCCGCGCAATACCCCTTAGCTGCACCACGCGCACCCGCATCAGCACGTGTCCTAGCCCTCGCAGCGCGCGCTAAGCCCTGCCACCACGCGCACACCCCACCCAGCAGCGAGCTCTTCCCCCCTCCGCCGCTGCTGTGCTCGCGCTCTACCTCGAGCCTACTGCTATAGGCGTCTTCCACGGCGGCTGGCAGCCGCTCTTCCCTCCGTTTGCTCGAATTGGTTTTTTGGTCTCCTCCTAGCTTCGACCGATGGTTATTTACCCTGGCGCTCCTAACTCCACTCACTCCCAGCTCCGCTCGACCGTAGCTCCGGCCGCTCCTAGCTTGGCCACTCCTAGCTCTGGCTGCTCCTAGCCTGGCCACTCCTAGCTCCGGCCGCTCCTAGCCTACCCACTCCTAGCTCCAGCCGCTCCTAGCCTGGCCGCTCCTAGCTCTTGTCGCTCCTAGCCTGGCGGCTCCTTGCTCCAGCCCCTCCTAGCTCCAGCCGCTTCTAGCTGTACTATGGAGTCCTTCCGCCGCCTACGTTTCAATGCGGAGGGCCGTCCTATCGATTTTAGTACGTGGCTCCGCCACGCTCAGTGCCACCTTACTAGTCAACGCCAGGATGGTGCCACCTTGTACGCCCACGTGTCTGGCGCACTCCGGGCCCCTCCACGCCCCGACCCCCCGCCTACTGAGCCCGCTCCCACTGCCGCGAAATAGGCAGACTACTACCGGCTGTTCCTGGCACGTGACGTCTGGGACTCTCGGGACGCTGCGGCTGCACTGATGCTCACGGACCTTCTCCCACTGAGTGAGGCTGCTCACTTCTCCCAGTTCGAGACGGCGAAGGGGTGTTCTGATGCTATCGTTGCTCGTTATTCCACTCCTTCCTTTGCCTCCCTCAGCCGCCTCCTCACGTCGTTCGTGTTTCCTGACCTTTCGTTTGCGACTGTCTCCTACCTTGCCACCCACCTGCGTTCCCTCGACACTAGCTACCGTGCAGCCTGTACCGACGCCCAGCTTGAGCTTGCCCCCCCTCCTATGTGGCTCACCATTCACTGGTTAGTCACGCGCCTCCCTGGCCGCCTCTCCTCTGCCCGTGACGCGCTTCTTCAGAAGCACCCCACTGAGCTTACAATCGAGCTTCTTGAGAGCACTCTCTCTTAGATCGAAAGTACCCCCCTCTCTGTTGCCTCTGCCACTGACGCATTAGCTCCCCGTCTCTTTGAGGGGTGTGCTGTTCCTCAGCTTCCCACCTTCACTCCTACTCGTGCCATTGCTGCGGTGTCTATCTCTGAGGAGAGTACAACTGTTTCTCCCGCTGGTGGGCAGGCAGAAACGAGGCAAGGGAGGCAAGAAAGGGAGGAAGGGTGGTGGCGGCGGTGGAGGTGGCGGAGGTGGACAGCAGCAGCAGCAGTCACAGTAGCAGCAGCCACAGTAGGGACAGCAGCAGCACGGACAGCAGCGGCGGCAGGTGCCGCAACAGGTTCCGATGTGGGGACCCCCGCAGCAGTGGGGTCCGCAGCAGCACTGGGCCCCCCCGCAGCAGTGGGAACCTGGAGGACCAGGGAGCACTGGCCACAGCAGCAGCACTGCCAGCTGGGCCCCGCACCCCCCTTGGCGCGACCATGGCCCCTGCGATTACTGGATCCTCACGGGACCGGTTAGTCCTGGTGTCTGCGGGCGCGGTGACCACTCAGCAGCGCGTTGCTTCTGCCGCCTCGACGACCTCTACCGTCAGCGTCACGGTCACGCAGGACGCACCCCATGCTAGGCACAGCTGCTAGCCCGTAAGACTCCTGTATTGGATCTGTCTATGGATGAGGCTCCTCAGTATGCCATGTATGCTGATGTTGACTATAGTGCTGATGGATCTATTTGCTCGTGTGTTCCTGAACTAGGATCCTTGCCTGTTGCTAGTGTAGACTTTCGCCTTTCTAGTCTAGGTGATTGTGTTGCTGCACTAGGTCCTTGTGTAGCTACCAGCCCAGGTGCACCTACGGCTAATGCGTTCTTCACACTGGACGCTGGCGCATCACAGTGCTTCTTCCGCGACCACACGACTCTCACACCACTCCTTGCTCCTGTTCCAGTAGCCCTGGTTGATCCTACTTCAGGACCAGCAGTTGCACGCAACTCTACCACCCTCACGTACCATGTGGTCCCCTTTGGTGTCCTTACTGGTCTCCACATCCCCTCGTTCACTCGGAACTTGGTGGTTGTTGGATACCTTCAGGATCGAGGGTTCACAATCACCATTCTTGGGTACGGGAGGACTGCGATCTGTACGGACGCTTCCACCGGTGCACTTCTTGCCACGTTCACCAGGGAGCCCCGCTCCGGTATCTACGTTCTGCACACCGAGAGCTCCCAGGTAACTGCGTCTCCTCAGGTTGCTGTGTTCGGTTTGCTGTGTCCGGTCAGGTTGCTGTGTCCGGTCAGGCTGCTGCGTCTTGCTCCTGTTGGTCCCTCACATACCCGGCAGTCTTGTGGCACCATCGTCTCGGCCACTCGTCCCTCCCCCGCCTCCGCAGCATGGCTAGTCAGCTTCTTGTCTCGCGTCTCCCACGCATCTTTGCGTCGCTCCCTCCCTCGCCTGTGCCGTCGTGCACTCTTTGCGTCGAGGGTCGGCTGCGTGCCAATCCTCACTCCTCCTCCCTTCGTCCGGCCACAGCTCCCTTCCAGACCCTCCACTTGGACATCTGGGGCCCAGCTCCTCGACTTGGCCCGAGCGGGAGCGCTACTTTCTGGTGGTCGTTGACAACTACTCCAGGTACACCACGGTGTTTCTTCTGCGCTGATCCGGTGGCTCCTGGCCACTAAGGCCACTCTTGGTAGTCGTGTCCTTTGTCTCCACTCCGACCGAGGGGGTGAGTTTCGCTCCGGCGTGCTTGCCGGATTCTGTGGCGAACAGGGCATCACACAGTCCTGGACGCTTCCGAAGTCCACACAGCAGAATGGGGTTGCTGAGCGCCGCATTGGCTTCGTCATGGAGATCGCCCGCACCTCCATGATCCATGCCCATGCGCCCCATATTCTGTGGCCCTACGCGGTTCGCTACGCCGCCCACCAGCTGAACCTCTGGCCTCGTGTCTCACGACTAGGGGATTTACCGACCTGTCTTTGGACAGGGTCCCCTGGTGTTGCGTCGGAGTTTCGAGTCTTGGGCTGCCTTGCGCTTGTCCGCGACACTCCTGCGGACAAGCTCTCGGCCTGCGCCATCCCGTGTGTCTTCCTTGGTTTCCAGGTGGACTCTCATAACTTTATGTTTTACCACCCGCCCCTCCACCGGTTCCTTGACTCTCGTGACGTCACCTTTGATGAGTCAGTGTCCTACTACACCCGCTACCCCTGTCGAGGTCTCCCGATTTCTCCCCCTCCTCTTTTCCTCGCCCCCACTCCTCCTCCTGCTCCCGCTCCTCCGGTACCCCAGCCCCCCCCAGGCCCTGCCCCGTCAGGTGTGTCTCACGCTACCCCTCTGCCCTCTGTAGCGCGTTCGGTGTCGTCTCCCTCCCCAAAGTCCTCCTCATAGTCCCCTCCGCGGCCTTTGGCACTTCCGCAACAGTTTACGGTGGACTTAGGGGGTGTTGGAGCTACCGAATCCTCGCACGTACCGTGAGGCAGTGTCAGGGCAGTGGGCCTCTTAGTGGAAAGCGGCCATGGACTCAAAGATGGCGTCTTGGAGATCCACAGGCACCTACGTTGACGCAGTTCTCCCTCCCAGGGCGAATGTAGTCGACGGCATGTGGATCTTCAAGGTGAAGCGGCTGCCTGGATCATCGTTTGTCTTCAAGGCGCGCTACGTGGCTGGGGGCTTCAATCAGCATGAGGGAGTTGACTTCTTTCAGACCTTCTCCCTCGACCCTGAAGATGACTACTCTTCGGGTGTTACTTCACGTAGCAACACAGCGAGACTACGAGCTGCACTCCCTCGACTTCTCCACTGCCTTTCTCCAAGGCCACCTTCACGAGGAGATCTGGCTGCGGTGTCCTCCTGGCTTCACTGGCACTTTCCCTCCTGGGACCCAGTGGAGCCTGAGGCGACAGCGTCTTCCCCTGCCTTCTCCTCCAGCGTCTTCTCTTCATGACGTTCCTGACCCTGAATTTGACCTTGCTCGTGCTGCTAGTCCGACTGTCACTCGTTGTCTGGCCACACTTGTCACTGACCCTACCTTTGAGTCTGCTGCTGCGTCTGCCTTTGTCACTGAGCTTGTTGACTTTGCTACTGCCTACCGCCTTGGCTAGTCTTGTTTCTGAGTCTGGCCGTCCTCCGTCCGTTGGGGGTGAGCTTGCCCTTGGTTGTGACGTCCTTGAGGACAGGCAGTTTGAGCTCGAGTGCTCTGCGGCTGTTGTACCTCATCTCGCTGCCATGCTGCTTTGCCCTGAGGGAGACCCGGATGCTCTAGACATCCCGACCTCGGTCTCTTACGCAGAGGCGATCACGGGTGAGTACTCCTCTAAGTGGCAGACATCCATGGATCCAGAGATGGCTTCCTGGAAGTCCACAGGCACCTACGTCGATGCAGTCCCCCCTCCTGGGGCGAACATAGTCGATGGCATGTGGATTTTCAGGGTGAAGCGACCGCCGGGTTCTCCGCCTGCCTTCAAGGCGCGTTACGTTGCACGAGGCTTCAGTCAGCGGCAGGGGGTCGACTTCTTCCAGACCTTCTCCCCCACCCCGAAGATGACCACTCTTTTGGTGTTACTGCACATTGCAGCACAGCGTGACTACGAGCTGCACTCTCTCGACTTCTCTACAGCTTTCTTGCAGGGCAGCCTTCACAAGAAGAATTGGTTGCGCCGCCTACCTGGCTTCACTTGGTCGTTTCTTGAGGGTACCAAGTGGAGTCTCCGGCGACCAGTCTACGGTCTCCACCAGGTGCCCCGCGAGTGGCACGACACACTGAGGACGACACTTGCAGCTATTGGTTTTGCTCCTTCGACTGCTGACCCGTCGCTGTTTCTGCGCACCGACCCTTCTCTGCCGCCGTTTTACGTCCTCGTGTACGTCGACGACTTAGTCTTTGCTACTGCTGACACTTACCTACTGGTCTTTGTG